CATAGGTGACCTGGATAAGCAATCAGCATCGGAGTGCTGCCGCCCAGACTTATAGACGACTGCCATATCGAATTCTTGTAGGCGCTAGCCAACCAGATGGGTCCTTCAAGCTGGGCAGCCAGCAAAGGGAGTGGTGGTCGCTGACTACGGGGAAGGGACGATCATAGAGGTATGGCAAAACTTCATAACTGCCCATACTGCAGCAAGACATTTCTTTCCCGTGGTGGAATAATGGGACTCGGCACGGGAAAGCTTCCTATTTGCATATGCGATCACTCGCTCGGCTGAGTCTTGCCACTGGACGAGTACAGCGTCTAAAGTTACGTTGCTGACATCGGTGTGATCATAGTAGGAGCGTCTTTGTCAAAGTGAGCAAGCACAGGTGGTGTCTGCAGGCACTGTCGTAGATTGTCAAATGTTGCTTGTTCCTCTTCACCCCACAAAATTGGAACATCGTCTCTTGTTATACGTGTTAAGGGCGATGCTATGTGCGAGAAGTTGGCAATAAATCTGTGGTAGTAGCCGCAGAGGCCAAGAAAACGTCTCACAGCCTTCTTATCCTTCGGCACCGGAAAGTTTCGGACGGTATCGATCTTGTCGGGGTCTGGGCGAACACCTTCATGGCTCACCACATGTCCTAAGAACTGGAGTTTCTTGAAACCAAAATGGCATTTCTCAGCTTTCAGCGTCAGGCCGACGGACCGTATTGCTTGAAATACTAATAGCAGCCGTCTTAGATGTTCCTCGTATGTTGCTGAGAAAACAATGGTGTCGTCGAGGTATACCAGACACGTCTGCCACTTAAGGCCTGATAGGACGGTATCCATCAGTCTCTGAAATCTTGCTGAAGCTGAGCAGAATTCGAAAGGCAAGACTTCAAACTCGTAAAGCCCTTCAGGTGTTACAAAAGCAGTTTTTTCCCCTTCTAGCTCATCGACCTCAATTTGCCAATATCCACTTCTCAGGTCTATTGAAGAGAAGAAGCGTGCATGTTCAGCCTGTCAAGTGAATTGTCAATACATGGTAATGGGTATACGTCTTTCTTTGTCACGCGGTTCAGCTTGTGGTAGTCCACACAGAAGCGTAAGCTGCCGTCTTTCTTCTTAACCAGCACTACCGATGATGCCTAAGGGCTTTTTGACGGCTGGACGATGTCATCATCGAGTATTTTCTGGACTTGTTTTTGAATTGCTTCGTATTCTTTCGGTGCCACGCGGTATGGGTTTTGTCGAATCGGTCTTGCCTCTCTTCTGTTATAGTTCGGTGCTTTGTCAGTGGCGTTTGATTTACCCTCAAGGTCAATAAAAAACAATCTTCGAACTGGTCGAGAATATCTGGAAGACTCTGCCTCTGCGCTGGCGATAAATCTGTGCTCACATCGACATGTGGGCGTGCTGAAGCGGCTGGCATCTCTGCCTGTTGCACTGCAAAGCACTCGCCGAATTCTATGATTTCGTCGAAGTATGCCACTGTGGTACCCTCTGTAATGTGTCGACGCTTGTTGCTGAAGTTCGTCAACAGGACCTCTGCTTGCCCATACACTACACTGATGAGACTTCTGGCAATAGCAATTCCTCTCCTCGAGAGAGTAAGAGCGTCGATACTTGTTCTGCGACACCTTCTCCAGTATGCTGCATGTTACACGTGACAAAGACGAGGCGGCATGATGACAGTGATATGGTCACGTCGTCAATGACGTGCATGGACTTGCACTGCGCTATAGTCCGCTCAGAGCATCAGTACACCATCCGGTATATTATTGTGGCACCGTTCTCCCGCAAGAAATCCATACCCAAGATGGCCTGTCTACAACACTCAGAAAGAATAAGGTGCGACAAATGATGAATACCTGATCTTGATTCTTGCGATGCACTTTCCGGTAGGCGTCAGCAGCTGGCGTCTAGCTCCTCTGATTTTCGGTCCCGTCCATTCTATTTTCACCTTCTTGAGTTTGTCGGCCAGATTCGCACTCATTATTGAAAAGTCCACACCAGTTTTGACCACTGCCATCACATCGTGACCGTCAAATGAAAGTGTCCTGGTGGTGACAATTTCATCTTCCGTTAATTTATTCGAAATGTGTGGGGCTTCGTGTGGTGGTAATCGGGGATTTTGAACTCATTGGCAATTCACAACCTTCCCTCCTAAGGTCGCTGCTTTTAGTTTCCCTGCTGTGGACTGGGAGATCTTCCTCTCGCCATGTCCGTGGTGCTACCTTTATTAGATAGTGGAAAATGATCAGGAGAGGGCGAGCGTGACTGGAACCAAGGAAAAACGTCCCACGCGATCATCGTGCTTGTATCAACATTGCGTCTTCCATTGAAATAGCGACGAGGGGTAGTGGATGGAAATTCTTGGTACTTGGTGACGCGATGAGGACAGTACCGCACAATGTGGCCTGCTTCCCCACAATGGAAGCACTAGGGCCTGTAGTCAGGGGTACGCCAGATGTCGTTTTTGGGGAGCGGAGGTCGCATGGGCGACGACGTTTCACTGTAGTACCAAGGCACTGTCGGTGGCTGTTGCTGATGGTACTGCTTTGGTGGCGGCAAGTTAGATGTCTGACGACGGAGAATATCTGCATAGCTTGGCCTAACCTTGTCATTGTTCGGCTTGGGAAGTGAAAGTGCTTGCCTTATCTCTTGGTGCACAAGCTTCTGTGACCGGCGCGATCGCGCAGTCATTAGATGTGGTGGTGAGCTTCTTCACCTCGTCTTGCACAATTTCGCGTATCAGGTCACGCAAAGAACGCTCGTCAGGTGTCATAGTCGTCACGGTGTTGCACTGATTTGTTCGCTATTGTTTGGGCGATCGTTCTGGCGGTAGCGTAGCTGTTGTGTACGTTCTATGGCGGTCGCCTCCTTCGAAAATTCCTCGACGCTTGAAGGTGGGTTCCGCACGAGACCAGCAAAGAGCTGCTCTTTAACACCGCACATGAGGTGGCTGATCTTTTTGCTTTCAAACGTATCAGGATCGGCTTGATGGAAGAGACGAGCCACGTCTTCAACAAACATAGCAACAGATTCATTTGGCTTCTGAATTCGTGATTCGAGGAGTAGCTGTGCATGCTCCTGCTTTTTGGTGTTTGTTAAAGTGTCCTGAAGAGAGAAATACATGTATTCCAACTTCTGTGCGGCGTTCCACCTGTTAACGTTGGCTGTGCACTCGAACTCCTCAAGCCAGTCATCTGCATCCTCATGTGTGTTGCCGTGGAAGTCCACAAATTTTAGGGGTGAAAACAGTCACCTGTGTCGTGCTTAGGCTAGTCATGGCGGGGCTAATGCTTCTGGACGCGGTCATGTTTTTCGGCCAAGGACCGAACTCTGGGCTCAGGCCTAACTGGCAACGGCTGGTGCGGTGAACGGGTGTTTCGACGAGTGTAAGTCTACGTGGACTAGATCCCGGGCTGTTGGAAGGTGTCCTGGACATGTACCCAGCACCTCCACCGGTGTCACGAGGCAGACACAGCAGAAGTCGGATATAGGAGAGCTTACTTTAGTTACATGCAAGGCACTCGTAAAAAGGACCGAGCAAGAACTTCGTCCTCCTTTCTTGCTGCGCGAGCTCTTCTCTGCAGGTTGAATGCGGCAATATTATATATAAAGCATGCCATCTAAATTAATTTTCAACATGTGGGTCTTTGAAGCGTTCCTAAATCTAAGCACACGGTTGCGCACGGTAGCTCTGTTTTAAGTACATTGCAAGTCTCACAGCTTATATGATAGATATATTTCTGTGTACTGGTACTATGGCCAGATAAACACAACTAAGGCTCCTCGCATGATCGATAAACTACAGTGCCGTTGTACGCCTACCAACAGCGCGTAAGTGCATGACCCAGAGCCTGTTTTTTTTTTTACACAACCGAGTCGCTATAAAACGCCGCATTCACACACCATCTAATAGTCCTTATGTTTGGGAGGATGCCAAGAGCATTTTGTGATGTGCTTGAAACAGAAAGTGGCATCCACTTCAAAATTATTCTGGTGAATGGAGGGTATGATGACAATAAACAGCATTCTGGAAAGTTGCACTCGCCGATTTTATTACAATGCATTAGCAGCCGTGCGAGACCAAATGCTTTCGTACGTCGTTTCAGGCATACGTAGAAACAGTTACATTCGCACTGATATGACCGGACAAGCCATACTTTGAGAACGTGTATGACGTAAGCACTCATAGAAACACGACGTGACTAGCAGACAACGCAAGGAGAAATCTACACTTCACCGTTTCGGCCAGTTGCTGCCAAGCGGCGACTCTGCTCGATCTCGCGGCCAGTAGGAGATGTTATTCTATTCAGGAATTTGATATAGGTGCGCACCAATCCTATACTTTTGCATAGGAAAATCAAGGAGATTTATCAACCGCTCGATGTAGTCAATTCGTTATATTCACGTTCGATATATCTGGGATCGACTGTATAACTCAGTGCCAAGGCACAGTCATCTGAGATGTGTTCCCATAAGTCTAGTGATTATCACGGCCATCAAACTGTCTATGTTCATAATAATTAGGTATTCATTATATTGCTGAACCTTGATTTAACTAGTTTGTTAAAACTGGCAGTTTTCCTCGTTATATACAAACTTCAATAAATCTAAGTTACTAGATGTAAGGTATAGCTGCCAACTACATAATTCATGTTTTCACTAAAAGTGCCACAAGACAGTTCAAATGATATGAAAGCATTAAAAATGTGAGCTTCAATGAGCTGAATGAGGTATTTGCAGATACAATGAATCCATATTTGTGTCAGGCATGGCTTCGTTGTGACGAGGTTTGACTGTAACCTCAGTCATTACATGTGGGCTGGACTGTTTCCGAAGAATTTCGTCTTTACCATTACGTCCTAAAAGAACAAGCGAATGGAAATGACTAGTGTGTTGGTTCTGTTCGAGCTTTGTGGGATGTGATGATCTTATCGATGGTGCATTCCGCAGTAGTTTGTGAACGTCGAGGATGTTCACAGGGTGACTGAAGCGTGACTGTGTGTGCAGGACGACGACGAGTTCCCAGGTCACCGGCGTTGGGAGAGCCACCGCGGCGCCGTCGGCGCCCCTCTCGTGTCATCATCGACAAAGACGTGCAGATAAGCATGGAGGAAATGCGGCAGAACATCTACAGCATGAGCCTTGAAATTCATAAGCGGGTGGGCAGCCGCCATCATTACTCGGTTGACGGCATTGAAAAATGTTTGAAGAGAAACCTGTTAAAGGGAACGTAAAGAGGGAAAGATTATTATTCTTATTACTAAATTACTCTTTTCATGAATCCAAAATCATGATTTTTGGCTCCAGCAAGACACCTGGTAAATTAGAAAACCCGCGATAAGAAAATGGAGGTAGTGGTGGCCACCCCAATGATCTCGCACCAAACTGTGTAACATAATTTGATGTAATGTCAATTTCGATGTCATCTACATGGTTCCTAATCGGCAAAAATGAAATCCCTTGTCTTCTGAAGGGGCCCTAGATGTAGTGTACCAAATTTCAGGAAATTTCGTTCAGCCGATGTTGCTGAAATCCAAAAATCGCTCTTCGATATCCGTGATGTCACGTCTGATATTTTGACACGAAACTAAAGGAAAAAAATCGACCTTAATTTGCTTCTCCTATGACGGTGAAATTAATGACGTTTCAAGGCACAGTTTATCAATGTAGACGGAATCGATGTGTAAATTTGGTGTCTCGTTAAGCTTTAGAGAAGTTCTGCCTTATAAAAAAAGGCCTAATTTCTTCTGTAACATTACAGATGGCTGGCAAGAACCAAAGGCATCGAGGCCTGACAGAGGCTCCTGCTCTGTTAGCAAAGTTCGGCTGCAGTGATCAGATTATTTGCATGATAAAGGCACGTGTGTACTTGCAAAGCTCTGAGAGCATCACAGTGTTCCACAAAATAAGAACAATAGTAATTGCTTTATTTCCAGTAACAAGAGGAGATACAGGTAAAAGTCGCTTGAGACACAACCAACTTGACGAAATCGTGCTGCCACCTCTACGATTTTGGTAACAATAGCACACATGTTTGGAGACACAAAGAAAACATACTGAACGCACCATCAAAATACAAAAAATTCAAAATAGTGTACTTAACGGAAAATAATAAAGAAGTAACAAGAAAGAAAAGAAAGAAAAAACGCAAGATGATACTTTTCTTGCGGGCATGAATTGCTGAAATGTTTGTGCAGGCTTGTACAAAAGTTGAAAAGATTTGATTGAGGGGCTTGCTTGTTTGTTAGACACAATCTAAGGAAGCCAACAGATAATGAGACCAAGGAAAGCAGAGGGAACATTATTTATAGCTTTGATTTGCTCTGTAACCGGTGTGAGATAAGACGAAGTAAGAGTGGGCAATGAATAACCTACAAATAGTGGTGACTAAAGCTACATTTGCATCAAGCGTGCGATGCATGGCCAAGCAGTAATGTAGAATGTTTCGGGCTCGGTTGCCATTGGTGACAAATTTGTTCATCTACTCTAATTTTGCTTTTTAATAATTCTACCTCAACTAGAAGCTATAACTAACTGATGCTTCAAGGAATATTATGACATTTTCTATCTAAAATGAAGTATCTTAGAATTACTACACCTTGCACAGAAGGTGAAAGTTCGAGTTAACTAAATTTCGATATAAAGATAACACTGCCAATTATGTGCACTTTGGTTAATAAAATTAATTTGTGCTTCACTTTAATGAGATCTAAATGTGCCTAGATTTTGTTTGCCTCTCACGAAATGTTTTACCAGATCTTGATAAAATTTTCACTGCAGGGGTGTGAGCTTGACATCTTGTTTATAAAAAAAAAAATTTGGTTTTGCAGAACTATGTGATGACGCTGCCAAAGTTGCAGAGTGTCGACGTACTCTTCCGACAGCCTGGACGTCGTATGTACTTGATTTTTATTCCTCAAATTGAAGTTCGGTTTTACAGTCGAGGCCGCTTATAACAAAGCTGAGCCTGACGCGGCATCCGTTCGCTGTTTCCCGAAGTTCCTGGTAAATGAAACAGCTTTTAAATACGTTGCGAGTGAGAACACAAACTCTTTTTGCCCAAAAAGTCTGTCATGCACGTGTTTCGAAGAGCAGGAGCGGTAAGGGCGGTCTCGAGTTCAATTGAAATGGCAGGGTGCTAGCTCGCCGAGGCCCGTGGCATAAGCTGCATTAGGCACAGGCTCCAGAGTATCGTCGTTCTCGCAATCCGATTTCTCCAAATCGCTCTCGTCACATACTTCATTCACAATGCGGTAATTTGTACATGGTTCCGCAGTGTCGGCACCATCATCGGCCGTAATTAAACCATCGCAGCAGATGTCCCACCCGTTCTCCCAGGTCGGAGTCGACGACACGCTGCCACAAATCACTGCCAGAGTGATTCTGTTCGGAAGCTTCAGGGTCAGAATCGGGCCCGACGTCGAGGAAACGGCCTTGCGAAAACAGTTTCGCGCGCATGTAGCCAATCACAGCCGCCCATGAAATATTCACCATCTCCACAGCTGAATACCGAAATGCCCAAAGCGGCAAGTTGGCTGCCAGGTGGTACACAGCTATGAGCAAGCACTCCGCAACGTGGCACCTAACGCGCGGATTACGCTCAAGTCCAGCGGTCACACTTTCGACGTTTTGTTGAGCGGTAGGAAAAAGTGTGCAAGTTCTCCCATCTGCCATCCTGACGACACACGCACACCAAGAGCGAGCAAGACGCGCACACGTGACACGCATGCCAAAACGCATGAAACAGCTCTGGGCCTGTTTCTATTGGGAAAACGAAACTAATTCGAGCCAGCGTGGCTGGAGTCGCGGAGCGGTGGAGATGGGCGAAGGGGTTGTGATCAAGAGAGGAGAGCATATTTGCGAGAGAAGGGAAAGGAGCTGCGGTAGAGTGAAGAGAGGAAAGGATGCGGCGGGAGAGCGACCTTGAAAACCAAAACACCCGGGAAAGAGGCAGGTTGGGTAGCTTGCTTGGAAGGTCCGTGAAACGCGCAACTCGCACGTAGAAAAACTTGAGAAAGAGTTTTTGAACTTGAAATCTGCGCCGGTGGGTTCGCGTGGCCTCACCAATTTCAATATTTTATGATTCGCTCCGCACAAATTAACAGCCATTTTCATGATTCAGTACGTGTGCGGAGGGCATGCCGAGCCAAGTGTGTAGTGACCGAGAACAAGTCCTAAACACAAAACGAGTCGCAAATTATCAGAGCCGGGGGGGTAGCATATGCACGTGGACTAGACGCAGATAGTAAGAATGTACGGGCACCTCGCTGTTGCCTGATCCGTGGCCGAAAGTGGTTTACCGGGAACATAGTCGGCAAAGTGACGACTCCTTTCGCTGTAACCGTTCAGCGGCACTCGGAGACGTTCGTTGTAAGTGCGATTTTGTGCCATTGAACCAATTCATATTTTCAGGGTCTCGCTGATATTGTTCGTTTTAAGGGAAAGTTTGTTTTAAGTGGAGCTGTTATATGTGGGCTCGACTGTATTAGCATGGAATTGGGGTAATTCAGATACAAAGCAGGCTAATTTGATTCTCCAGCCCCAGCATTTCTGTTTTGATCCAAATCAAGTCCTCCAGATTGTTCAGTATTCACGCTGTCAGACTGAATGGTGCCTCCATCCGTTCTGTGCCTGTTCTTGGCAAAAATGATTTAAAGCACTGCCGTTTCTGTTTGATGTCCTCGTATGTTTGACCGTCAGATAAGCCTCAACCAATCTCGTGCTGCTCCCTCTCGTTTTCTAGTCACACTTCCTACTGTTCTGTCACAGACTGCGTACAAAATACTCATACCTTATTATAACAAAGTTGCATCATGCAGGAAAATGGCTTTATTAAATCCCAAAATTCATTATAAAGGTGTATTCCTGACATTGTATCTATGCATGTATAAATTTCATTGACTTTACTTTGTTATGACTATTGCAAAACTATTCTTTATTAACTTTGTTATAAGCAATATTTTGTTATATCTGAGTGTGGTATATCATAGTATGAATTAGATCCCTAATTTTCCATTCAACAGCCTTTCTTTTGTCTTCCTATTTTTCTCTCTGTGCTTCGTGGTTGAGACCTTAACTGAAAATTAGGTGGGGAGCAAGTGAGTTCGGAGTGTAAAAAACTGTCTGCAAACAAGTGCTTTCGGTCGTAAAACAAGTCTTGCTGGGAAGCTTCACAAATTCCTGAAAAAATGTGGATGTTGGCATTTAATTGCATCAGATAACTTTTATGACATTCCATCCAAAAATGGTTGCAGTTGACAGGCAATATCGATGGTTTTATTGTGACAGCAATTATATGAACGGCCAAGGCCTGTTTTTTTGCCGTCACCCTCCCCTCCTGTATTTCAAATCGATAAAGTCGCCCCACAGGTCGTGCGTGCTATGGGTGCATGAAAGTTTGCAAAGGTAGAAAGTTTATAAGGGCGTTTTTAAAGCAGAAATGAAATGCACAAGCTGACGGGCAAAGGAGCGTGCAGCACGGGAGTGGTGCGGGCTGCGTTGCTTAGGCAGCAACTGAGAACTCCAATCAAGAGGGCACAGTTGTACGTGTTGTCTCTACAGAGATGAGCAGATGGCTCATACCCTTGTACATACTGTGCATTCGCCATTTACTCTAGCGAAGAGCTGGACAGTACAAGGACGACTTCGCTCCTTCAAGCGGCCATATTCATCGCACCAGCACTCTGTTCATTTACGTGAGATCAGATCCAAGAAAAGTTAGATGCTAACCTTACTTCATGTAACGTGCCAATTTATTGCTATTGTATTCGTTGCTTTGCAATTGCAGTGAAACTGGGACATTTTTTGACAGGACTTCTTTCTGATCAACTGCTGAGGCCTTGGAAAAGGATCAAGACTATGCCGGAGCCAGACGACCTCGAGCCTCTCGTGTCTGATGAAGAGCTGAGTGAGTTAGCGGGAGTTGTTTGTTCAAAAAATAGTGCCAGTTAGTCAAATTGGTCAAAAAGTTTCATGCTACTACCTATTTCACTTATGCAGAAAACGGTGACTGAAAACCGCGAAAGATCCGTGACGTCGAAATGATCAGTATGCCAAAATAGTGCTAAGTTATTCATTCATTTAATCATAATACCTCTAAGGTCCCACATGGGCATTACACAAAGGGTGGGAGAACAGAAAAATTGGTGGGTCAGGTTATATTTCATTATTTGAAAGGTGGTCATCAATGGCAGCTTTCAAATGAGTGATGTCGGTGATGAGGGTGATTTTCGATGAAAGGTTTTTTCATTCTCTGGCAACCATACTTGAAAAACTTATGCAATAGCCAGCAAATGCTGCCGTCTGGAATAAAAAAACGAGGCCAAATCTCATTCTTGAAGAAGCGAGACATCCTAAAGGCCAGTTGAAGTATAGTTACTGTGCTCGAAGAAATTTGCTGTCGCAGCTAGCTTTGAGCATTGAGCACCCGGAATGACTGTGTCACGAGTTATCTCAGGAGCGCTTGCAGCCGATCGAGTTGAGAGAGAGACCCGAGTCTTAGGTAACACGGCAAACACATTTGAATATTACACAAAATGGACAACTTTCATCTAACACTCAAGCTTGACTCAAAAAAGAAACATGCACACAATAACTGGCTATAAAGCAAAACCGGGACTAATACTGATCCAAGTCAAGTTCAGTCTTAAGCCCTAATCTCTCTAGCCTAGATGGCCTCTCGGTAGCGACTCTTATACACTCCCGCAATAGTTGATTATTCTTACTCTTCAGATGTCGGATGCCACCCTCAAGACTACAAAGGTGGTACTGTTGCCGAAGTACTGGAAGACGTTGCCGAACAAGCCACTTGTCTTCATTGCCCGTGTCCCGGTCTTATTCATCATCTTCGGCCCGTTTTGTCAAACCCAACTTGTGTGTGGTCTCATTGATGACTCGCTCCGATGACTGGTGTGGACTGCGGCGCAATTGTTTTGTCACGAAGTGGAAGAGCTGTGGTCCCCCCCCAAGAACTGCATTGAAAGGATTTGGCAAGTCTGGGCAGCCTCACTCGAGTCTTTCGAGATCGACGGCCACTCCGCGGGCCTTTTTGCCGACAGCCTTCAGAACTGGACAGCTACTGCTTTCATCATTATAGCGACGCTGACGTTCTTGATCTTCGCAGTTTGTAGCTCCACAGCACAGTGATGACTCATTCTCCGGGATTTTTCATCACTGCTTGGGTTCATGCCACGAGCCTCTGTGTCTGATCTAGTACGTGAATGTGGCTCGCTTCGAATTTGAACCTAAATTATGGGAAATTTCTAAATATTCGAAACGAACAAGTAGATATTAGTCTGCATGTAACCCCTGTAAGGTTGGTTTCACTACAGTAGGGAGGTGCTAAGTCGTGAAAACACATATTCAAATGTACAGTGAAACCCCATTAATACGTACCTGCCGGGGACGACGGCGTAACTAGGCACTAAACGTACTATGCAATAACCACCGGCTACAAATTTGGATCTCCTGCCATTGCCATCAACAAAGGAAGACACTCGGTGCCACTAGAAATATTGCCTGAAGTGCCCACTGCAAAGCCATTTCTTTCCTTTAGCCAAAGTACAGAAATGTTTCTGACTCTCGCACAACCGCCCGATAGCACACGGTGGCGACGCCGAGCAGCATTTTGAAACTGCCGCTGTATCCAGGATATACTCAACTTTACCACGGACACAATCAACTGTACCACGGATCAACTGTACTCATGGCCACAATCGACTGTTCGTGGTACAGTTGATCCACAGTCTGCTTCTAAGCGAAAACTGGTGCAGTTTTCGTTTTTAAAACAGTGCTACAGTCGCAGAGAGCCAGACCTTTTAATGCGTGGCTAGTTGCGTGCAGCGCTTCGCTCACTCTGCACACACTGTGACTGCCGATCCGCTTGCTGCTGAGTACGCCCTCTCCACTTCAAGCCATGCACAGATTCAGTGAGTACCATGCTGGGTCACTGCGGCAACGAAGAGCTTTCCGCAAGCAATGTGCTCTCCGCATGCTCTAGCAGTGCTGGCAACTGCCTATAGGTGGCACCCTGCATTCCAAGATGGCTGCGGAAGAATGATCAGCCCGTGAACTCGCATAAAAAAAAAAGATAGGACGCACAGATGTACTCCCCGTGCTGCTTTCACCGGATGAACTCTTGATTGTCAAATGTATATGGAACCAAAGTACTTACTCAAGCGATAGGAACTGCTGAATGTTCTGTTCGCTATTTCATTTCTTGCCGCAGTGCAAAGGGTGGTAGTGTTAGCTGATCTACCATGTAACAACGATGCTTTGCGTAATCCTGTGAGTGGTACAGAAAGCTGTGTGAACTAAAATTTACGCATGAACTGAACGGCACTTCGCGATAATTAATGCCGAGCTTGCCTGATGGATTTGCCGCAGTGGTGATCTACTAGCCAGTAGCGCGCCGTTGCTGCTGCACAGGACCGAATGTTGAACGTAGGAATGGTTTGCAAACATATTACGCCGTCGTCACTACTTTCGCTGTAAGCATCGTGCAGCTGCTTCTTCAACGGGGCTCAAGCCTTTAACTTCCCATTAAGTAGCACTTGTGTCACAGCCACGATCAGACTCTAACAGTACGCAATTTCATGCACTTGGATGTTGCAGGTTCCATCAGCGTGATCGAAACAAGGATATCTACATGTATACGCTTTTCGCAATGTCAAAATTGTGAAAATTTGCCGAACAACAACGTTGTTAGGACGGCGCCAGTCAAGTTCCGTAGAAGTTAGCGTGGACTGCAGTCGTAACTGCGTATTTCATTGCTCTACCCATTTCGCTTCGCTAGTCGAGCTTGAGCGTGTTTGCGGCATGCGGTGCTTTGTAATACAGTAGAATCTCGATCATTCGAACTCGAAGGGGCCCGAAAACTTGTTCGAAATAAAAGAAGTTCAAATTAATGAAAGCTAAGTAAACAGAGGGCTCCCCTTGCAATGGCGCATGTGCATTGACTAACACATGAGGGGGATGTTTCAGGAGACCTACATTTATTCGCAACTCACAGGACATCCGTCATTTATTGAAGTAATCGGTGATGCGTGCCTGCACACGTTTGCCTTGCAGCGAGTCAAACAATTTCGCATGCAGCTTGCAAAGCATGTCTACTTCAGCTTCAGCATTCTCCTGGCCAGAGAAGTTGCGCGCGGCAATGTCCAGCGCCAACACTCTTTGAAAACGACGGCAACAACGACTGCATCTCCGCTAATTCCCTCTGTGCTAAAGCCGCAGCGTGGCCACCACGTCACGAGAAAGGAGGAGCGTCTCCACACGGAGAGAAGCATATCGGCATTTAAGAGAAAAATAACGCTCCACGGCAGTGTGGCAGTTTGGGCTAGTTGGTATGACATGACGATGGTTATAGCGGGAGAACAGAACGACGACAAAGAGACAAGAAGGACACGAGCGCTTTTGTGTCCTTCTTGTCTCTTTGACATCGTTCTGTCCACGCGCTATAAATATAGTCACCCCACGGCAGCCTTTTTTTTTTTTTTGCTCTCTTCGCGCGCGTTGTTGAAAAGAGAAGGGCTACATGGCAGGGACGAGAAAGGGGGAAGCGTGGCACTGGGGCATAAGAGGGAGCCACACGCCACGACAGCTTTTTTTTTTTTTTTCCTCTCTCTCATTGCGCAGCGTTGGAAGGAGAAGGGTCTCTACGCGGCAGGGGCAGAAAAGGGAGAAGCGTGGCACAGGCGCGTCGCAGATCGGCATCGATATAAAGCGAATATTCCACCGCAGCCTTTTCTTTTCCTTCTTGCAGTTTTTCAGTTAGTGCCTATGACAGGAGAAAAAAAGCTGCATGAAATAGCTTGACAATGCCTCATGTCCCAGATTTACTGTGGCAACACCACGGCAAAAGCAAATAAGTCAACTAAAACACAGTGCTGTACATTAGAAAAAGTTCTACAGAAAAGAAATAGTAATACAGACGTAAGAAATATAAAATAGGGAACAGAGAATCACAGAGAGGTGAACAGTGACCACACATGACGGGAATAACAGGATGTGGTGGCAAGTGGTAGCCTTTACTGGCTCCACCTGGCACCTTCCTAATTGCCCCATTTGCTCTAAATGTGCATGGGAAAGTTCCATCCGGGAGAGGAAGTCAACTTCTGAGGGTGTTTCACACGGCCCAATGTTTAATGTGGCAAGCGTTTTGACTAGTATTTCTTCGTGTAGCCATAAATCTGCCTTCAATCAGCGTTGAGCATCGTCTTGTTTGAATGCAGTTGGATATAACTGAATATTTCGATGTTGCAAAAATACGAAAAAGATATTGTGACAATTTTTTGGAGATTACGGCAAGAAACTTTAAAATGAAACTGCAACCTTGTTTTTTCCTGCTAATAATGAACTAATGACATTATGGTTCTCAGAGTGGAGTTTATCAATGTAAGACAACTCACTGTTTCTATTGGTGTCTCTTTAAACATGTAGTTAACAAAGGAACCCCTCGATTAGCTAGCCAGCTTTTCGCCACGCTCTCATGATATGCTATTGTGCTTTGTGACGTGACAATATGTCTACTGCTTGCTGCAGCTGGCCTCCCTTTGCTTATTTTGTTCAGTAGATGGTGCCAGTATGTCACCAACTGTCATAATGGCTGTTATGTAGACTGACAGGGCAAAATAAATAAAATCTTTAGGCAGAAGCATCACACGACGTGTAAAAGCCTTGTGTTTGATCCTTGCAAGTTTGTACAGCTTGCGGCTTCATTTGAGTTGTAAATTATACGTACCGTGTTTTCTCACCTATAACCCACCCCTGCATATTACCCACACCCATACTGTTAACTCTACAAGAAGAAAGAAAGATATGCATATATGTCCTGCATATCACACCCCCAATTTTCATGCACATTTTCAAATTATTTTTTTGGTGTGGGTTGATGCAAGAAAGCGCAATAAGTGATACAGGGAACATCAAAAGTGTGATATAACCGCTAAGCCACCATCCCAAGCATAAAGCAGTATTCAGTTTTCATAAAGCAGTACTTCTATTGAAAGAAATCCTTCTTCAACTTGCAAATTGAATCTGCGATGGCATTGTGGCGTGTCTGCTGTCTGAGCACAACAATACACTTCTGTGCATAACAGATAGTGATATATTGTGTGCCATCACACATTTTGTGATGGTAATAGCTTACTATTGTTTTGTCTTCCTCATAAGTATATGGGGATAAAATAAAAAGTTTGTTAGTTTAAGAAGCATCTACCTTGGTTGTTTAGTATATTGCTTGATATTTGAAGCTTGCTTTTAGCATTAGAAAAATGTTATTTGCACATGTTTGGTTGGGGTATATGTATAGATTTGATTGTGTCATTGCACAAATTATGGCCACAGTCGCGTAAGTGTATTATGATGAAGGGTCTAGCTTCACAGCTCATTGTGGGACATATCTTCCAACTGATACTGTGCTGTTCCTGCTGCACAGTTCCTGAGCCTGCTGTGGCGCCTGTAGTCGAACCAGCAGCCGAGCCTGTAGCCGAGCCTGTTGCTGAGCCAGCAGCCGAGCCAGCAGCCGAGCCACTGGTTGAACCAGCGTCAGAGCAACTGGTTGTGGCGGACTTTGCAGACAGGATTGGTGAACCACAGGTAACCAATGTCCTAGCTTTGTTTTTTAAGCGTGGCTGGTTATTACTTACAGAATTCAGTGACATCTTATGCGTAAAGCCCAGCACGTGTTAGGGCAAAGAAATACGGCCCTCAAAAGTGCGCTGGCCCCTGGTATGTTTGTATGCACCGTTTTTCCATGGTTGATGCTCTCTCAATGGTAGGCTTGTTGGCAATGAGCTGTTTATGACGCGGCACTTTCATCTTTTATGGAAGCAATTTGTCATTTCATGTTGTCACATTACATTGTTGTATAGATGATGATGATTGGTAATCTTGCCCTTTGCAACGGGTCGCCGTAGTTTGGTGCCCCAAAACCGGCACGACCAAGGGACAAAAAAACTAAAGAACTTACAAAAAAAGAAAAAAATCTTAACTGATTAGAACATAAATATGAGCTAACACAAAACACGTAGTGCACCACGCCACCACCAGTATTCAAGGTGCCTCTTCGTCACTTCAACCACATTCCGCATCTGTCCGCTCTCTACACCAAAGCCCAGCGCGATGCTCAGTGTCGCTGTGGTGTCGGAAGAATTCGAGTTTCTCACCGCAGTATATCCTAAGAGATCACTTGTCTCAGCGGAAATTTTCGCCATGCGGTGCATTTCCACCTCGCGTACCATGACCCACACTCCTTCTCGTGTTTAGTCTTCTCCTAATTTGCTGTCTCTAAACACACCGCCGGTAACCCGAAGTCGTCAGTGCAGGGCTTGCCGTGCCTCTTGTCCACCTCGTAGACCTGCTCGTGAAGATGGTGTGGAATGAGCATCCTACGGGCTACGTGCTGTTCAGGGAGCCTCACCAGCCAATCTTCATAACTTGGCAACCACCTGCCTAGCCGTGAAAAAAGACCATCTTATCTCCCCTTGTATGGCCTCCACTGGTGTGTACTTGTGTACTGCCCAGAGCTAGCCATCCTATTTCTCTTTGGTGCCTCTACAAAAGCTCCGAACACCAGCGGAGAGGCAGAGTACAGCATTAGCGTACGTGAGGCCCGGCGCTGCCACCATCTTCCATTAAAGCTCGCATGACTTCATATTCTGTTGTACGACCACAGCGCCTTAGATATGAATACATAGTCATTGTTTCTGGTAGCAACTGAAGTGTTGTGCTGCTACTTGGGTAAGAAGTTTCCTTTCTCGCAACTTGGAAAAGAAAACAGGAACGAGCATCGTGCAATGCATTAGAATGACCTGCTGGGCCAGCCTGCGCATAAGTAGCAATTTCTTTGATAGTTGTCGATTGGAAGTGTAAACTGCCAAATCGAGCTGATTATTATCGTCGATCGAGCAGTACTGAGCGTTGGCTACACCAACGACGCAGCCACATTTGCATTTAGTGGAGTTCGATCACGTTGTAATTTAGTTCATTCGTGGGGCTTCTATTGCTGTTATCGCCGTGGTTTCCCTGCGAAAATGGTGCCACCAACTTAAGTAACTGTTAATTATCTAGTAATACAGTGAAACCTCGATGATTTGTACCACCAGGAAATGTGGCACGATCATGCACCAAACGGCAGTGCGCGTTTACTAGTGCAAATGTGCATCCTTTGACGTGCCTCATCGCTACTAATAAACGAATACAGTACCACAGCAGATGTCACCCAAAGTACTTACCAGAAAGTCTTTTCTTCCTTTTTGCCAGTATGTAAAAAATGATCGTACTGGGGCTGGCACTCTCGCACGGTTTATAATATCACGCGCAGTGGTGACACCAGAAGCATTTCAAAACTATTAAAGGGTCCAGGATATGCATCGACTGAAATGGTAACAGAAGCGGACACTGTCAGCCTTTCACGATACATATGTGTGCTTCTTTACCGCAATATAATACAAAGCGGCAACTGCAGTTTCATTGATACATGGAGCTGTTGCGGAGACTCGGATTGTCTCCTAGTTAGTTGCGTGCAGCCCGGCTTCTATGTTGCTGAGCGGCTTGCTGTACCATGTGCGTGGATTCGCTGGGTGAATTGCTTGTTCCCACTTTGCTCCAGACTGAGTACAGATAAGCAGAGTAATGTGTTTAATTAGGGTGGGGATAACGGACTGTGGCTAAGCGAAGTGCGCTGCGATTAGGCTACAGTCCGTTTCTCACATTAGGAGCAACGTTGCAGAGGCCAGCGAGGCTTCTTGTAGTAGACACATTCGCATAAAGAAATAGTTCCATGTTTTTACCACCCAAAATATATTTCTTTTCGTTTCAGGCTTACTATGAAATGAGCATGTTTTGTATCACACACACGTGCGTGTGTATGCACGCAGTTGGTAAGTCTCGAGTATTTGTACTGGGTGTTTAGTGAAAACCGTTAGAAGTTTTTTATCAGCAATAACTTTGATTGACGATGATATTCGACCCTAGAAAGCTGCTCCAGAACTAACTCGCGTTGCTCAAAAAACACCTTTTGGAGCTCTAAATTTGCTCTAAAGTATACTGCGCCAAAGCTGCTCCAAAACACCAAAGTTCACTTCCACCCCTGGGTGCCCTTGTTGACAAGTAGGCATACTGAAACTTTAACATTGCTAATGTTGTGAAGCCCTTTGTTGTTTTCTCAACAGCGAAGCTGCTAAAGCTGGCAGTAAGACAAAAAAAAAAAAAGACCTGACTCCGCCATTGCCGTAGCAAAAGCTGTAGGTGTGTGCCAGCTGTGCAAAATATTGCCCCCAATTGCCCCAGCTGCCCCCAATTCATTGCCATAGCAACCACCACAGTTTCTTACACCGTGGCTTAGGGACGGTGATCTCAGCACAAACAAAGTAGCATGCTCTGGACGTAGTCAAGATTCGCCCAACGACATCATTTGGCTGCTGCCTCGTCAGCCAAGCATGCTGGATTCAGTTGCCACCAGCATTACGATTCCTATGCTGCAGCATGTCTGGCTGAGGACCTACCAGCTTCGCTGTGTTATATTTTGCTGTGCAACCTTCGCTGAGCAAGCTTTGCTGTTCAAACTACGCTGTACAATAAACTTTTATGGGACTGTAGTATGGTCAAATAAAATAAAAAACGCTGCAATGTCCGCTGTAAAAATAAAGGTAGAGCTTCACGTGGGTGCAGTTTGCACGCAAGCATGTTGCTAACCCAGCTGTGCCCTCTATCTCCGCAGGAGATGCCCTCGGTGCGTGAGGAAGGCAGTCTGGAAGCACCCAGGGATCCGAGCCTGCAAGACACCTCAGGTGCAAGTGAGTACGGTGCTGAGGCCAGCCGCTCTGTTTGACTCATCTGGCCAGTTGTGCGCCTAGCTAGCCTTAGGTTGGCTGTGTGACCAGCAACATTGACTGTTGATGAGCAAGTAGCATACTTGCCAAGTTTCCCGGATTGGCCGGAAGACTCGCAGATTTTGACTGTTTCTTCCGTTGGTATGGTTGTCACGAAAATCTCCCAGAAATCGGAATTTCTCTGCTTGATTTGGCCGCATTGACAAAAAAGCAGCTCAATCCACTCCAGGCTTTTCGAACCTATCCCATTTTATTATAAATTAGTTTAAAAGGCGTTCATCTAAACAATCAGTAGAATCTCAGGGACGCGAAACCCCAGCAGATACTAATTCGTGAAATTGCCCAGCAGAATTCCACTGTGTCCATTGGGTCTAAATTCTTATGTTTCGAACACATTTTTAATAGCAGCATGTGATATGAACTTCTGTATGGAAACCGTCGAACAAAGGCCAGGAGGAGCGTACTCGAAGCTTCGTAAGTATGCGTGCGACTGTGCACGCACTGTTTTCTACAGGGCTTGTGATAGTCGTTTCCACAACCACTGTGGACAAAAGCACACTCACTCACGACGCGATCTTGTATGGCGACAGGTAACTGACAGAACCTCGAAAGTGCGCTCAACCAGTCAAAGCAACGCTGCTCTCTGCAAACTCTGCGGACAAAACTGTGGCACATGCGATTGTAGATGGCATAAAGTGGCTTAGTTTTGAAGGCGCATGTGCAGCGAAGTGCACGGGGATCATAAAAAGAACTATCGTTTGCTGCAACCGCCGCGCACAAAACCGCGATCGTGGCGATGCGATAGCCGCGATTTACGAGCTTTGAAGGCACACAGCGGTATTAAAGGCAGTAAATACGTAGGAAAAGTCACAGTTCTGCCGTAAGGGCGAAGAAATGAATGCAACAGCAACAACTTAGAATGTCACGCTGAGAACGGCAAGCAGATCGAAACGTGCAGCCCGCTGATCACGCACAAATGACGCACGAAAACGTACGAGAGTGAACTAACAACGTTTACTGCTCGACACGTAATCCGCTGTTTAAACAAGAACGATGCACGATATGTAATCACAGGTACAGATCAATACAAACTAACTAGTGTCCCAGTTATACCTCGCTGTGTATGAAAAGCACACTCTTTTCGCAAACCGGGCTTGTGAATCGACAGAAGTGACTTTTTTGGGCCCGGAAACTAATGAAACCATTCTGGTGAAAGCCAAAGGCACATGATTCTCCCCACCAAAGGATAAATGTGCGCGCACAAGCATTTACACCCCCACCCCCCACACCCAATTCGTGGAGCAAGGTACCCGTGAGAGATAAGCGCGCGTGGACGCATTGCGACAAACTGGGCACGGAGCGCAGGCCGCTTTTTTTCTTTCTTGAGTGTTCATATACTGTATGTAGATATGTACACATATACGGCGAATAGCAACGGTGATGGCAAAAAATCAGCCTAGATTGTCCATATCATTGCTATTGCAATAAATAGGGGCCAGACGGGTATTGGCGTTCCTGTCAAAAGAATCTAGTAGGGAGCAAAGCTTTCACCCGGGCTTTTGCGCCAGCCTGCTGCGCCAGCCTGCTGCGCCACCCCGTCTGTTCACGTGTGTCCCAGGAAAAGATGCGCGAGTTGTCTTGACGGAAATAGATTCTGCTTGTTGTATTCATTCTTTGAGACTCTCACCTTAGTGGGCACGCTGCCCATGTGTTTGACCACACCAAGCCTCTTTAAGACCACAACGCTGATGTTGGTATGGTGGCTATAATGTTGGTGCTTGTGATTGAGACCCCCTACTCCCTTCGTGTTCTTCGCAATGTTTTTTTTTTTCGTTTGTTTGTCCTTGGGGTTATTTTTTTGGTGCCGAAAAAATTAAAGGGAAATAATTCAGCACACCCCTCCTCCCTGTTGCAGAAATCTCCCGGAGTCAGAATCATTCAACTTGGCTGGTGTGAAGTCGGCTGTGTACGTGCGGTTCTTTTTGTTTCGTTTGTCCCATCTTGGGCATTGTCATTCTGTCTGACGAGTTTCAATGTTTTTTCCCACCTTTGAAGCTGGAGTTTGGTGGTGTGTATTTTGCCGAAGAAAAGTTATGACATAATGTTGCGCTTTCCACAATTTTCAGGTGCTGACGGGAGGGCAGTCGGAAAGACTTCGTAAGTGGTCGCTTATTGTTTTGCCCTTGACTTCGGTGTCTGGCCGTTAACACCACGTTTGTTCCCACAGCATGGTTCGAGTGATGGGCGGCATTCCCGAGGAGGAACCACAAGTTCAAGCCCCTGGTGAGAGGATTTGCTCGCCCATTAACCACTGGAGCTTTTAACAATAATTTACGTGAGCCTTTCAATACTTTTCTAAATAATCATCTAATGACCGCCCTATTAGAGTTTATTGCCACATGAATTGACTGCCGTAGCTTTTTTTTTAGAATCTCAAGAACGAGCAGAGTTACTGGGCCTTGTCACACATTTTAAAGGGATACTGAACAAAAATTGGAAAAACTGACCAAAACATCGAAATTCTCCTCGGAAGACTGTGCTGTTCTGACGAAGTTACTATCACGCATTTCTGAACAGTTGGCTGTGTTTTGGTAGATTGTCAATGCAAGGCTACTGTACGCGGGCATGAGCCATCACATCATAATCACCGAGGTGCATGCATGTGCATGCGTTCCTGTCCTTTCTCTCTCCCCTTGCCTTTCAAGTTACTCTCCCCCTTCCGCAAAAGCACTGGGGCTTTACTCTAGCCGGGAGCATTGTTCACTGCAGTTGTAGTTCTAGGAACCATAGTGGGCGCCGAGCGGGCTGACAGATGCGGGAAACGGTTGGCATTGTTGGAACGCCTGTTTTCTGCTAATGTAACGTCACTTCCTCTAGCTTGACGTCGTGACCGCTAGATGTGGAGCTTTGTAAGAAGCACGTTAAATGCATTATTTTCCTCTAGTTCCTGTCTCTAATGAAGGTTATCTTTGTCAATTTCAGCTCCCACTCCTTCGATTTGCCTCAAATTCTAGGCAGCAAAAGTTTTCTTCAGTATCCCTGTGAGCACTTTCTCTCCCCTTTTGCTCAACAAGCGCGCTGAGAGCTAGGCAGGGAGGAGGATGTTGAGGGGGCAAGAAATTACATTCGTACGTGTGTCATGGCCATCAGCATTTGATCTTGCCTTTTTTTCTTTGAATGCACAGCTTTTTTTTAGTGTGATCCCAAGCACGCTGGTGTAATTCTATATTATGCGCAATTATAACACTACGAAGCTCATTGCAGGCAGGTGGCACCACCTCGTGGCAGTCGTTGTAACTATGCAACTCACGAAGTTCACATCAGCCAATGCCGTAAGCCTATGATGTTATGCCCAACTGAGGTTATGCCATCTTTTGTTGAGTTCTGGGGGAGTGCTTCTTAGCTGACTTTGAATTACCTAATTGTCAATACCATGCCATGTGGTGCATTGCAATGTTTGGCTCACGTGTCCGCATGAGTTAACCAGCTATCGGTAGCAATTTTAGGCTTTCGTCAACGCTTGCAAGTCTAGGCTTTCGTAACACTTGCAGTGATGAAAGTGCTGCTCCAGTTGATTCAAACCTGCTCCAAAATGGCACTCACAGAGTAAGAATAATGAACTTTTACTGCTTGATCTACTCATACGTCATTAAGAAACTGGAAAAAAATCTGTAGTACTGTCATCCTAGTATATGCTGCTAGTGTGCTGCATGATCCGCAATGATTTCATTTGTGCGTACAAGAACTGGCATATGTTAAGCGTATAGCTCATTTGGCAGTTTTTCGTTTTCAGCTATACTTGTAGGCTAGTGTGGTAAAATGTGAAAATGAGCAGGATTGCTTCCTTCTCATATCGATTATCCACGACTCATTTTGCAACAGTTGTGTGGGATTGTGTTTACACTCAAACCTCAGTTATAACAAAGTTCCTCCTTACACAAAAATATGTTCGCTATACCCGTAGATTTGTTATAAAAGTTTATTCCTAGCACTATATCTATTGCTGGACTACTTTTTACTTACTTTGTTATAACCGATATTTCGTTTAGTCAGGGTTTGTTATATTGAGGTATGAATGTACTTTTACAGTAGTGGTGTTCTGCTTTACCAGATTGATTTACTTTTGCTACAAATACTAGTATTGTAATTATATAGCTCATTTCACAGCATAGTTTTGATAACCAGCCACTCTTTTAATTGTTTGCTTCTTGAAATTACATAGATTTTTACTGCAAAATTACATTGTAATAAATAATAATATTTATGAGATGCATTGAACTCCAATTGGTGTATGGCAATTATTGCATCCACTCCTAAAAAAGCTGTAGCTGCTCCAAACTACCATTTTTCAGCTCCAAAAACACTTATGGCTGCTCCAAAACACTATTTTCACTGCTCCAAAGTACAGTAGACTCCCAGTAAACAGAACCTGAAGGGCCCAGAAAAATATGTTCCATTTAACAGGAGTTTCGTTTACTGAGAGGTGAACATGGGTGCAGAATACAAGCCCAAAGCCAAGCATTGCAGAGGCAATAGTTTCATTTAAGCAGTAGTTCCTTTCAGCAGATTTCCATTTACTGAGAGTCTACTGTATTCTCCAAAAAGTAAAAAGTCACTGCCATCACTGAACTTGCCTTTAATGTGCCAAGTGTCAGTTACATTTTCCCGTCTGATCAGAATGTTTTATTGGGTGCACTAATCATTTTGCTGACCTTGCTTAATAGCAGCCTCTATTTTTTTATTTACAGATCCTGCAGATGACAAAGAAATATCCTGTATAGGGCATTCTGGACTGACAATTGTACCAAAAATAGATTGCACAAAGTTAAGTGATAATTGACATAACATTCCTTACATATACTGTAGGGCCTGCAGCATCTGTAAGGAATGTTATGTCAATTGTCACCTAACTTCATGTAATCCGTTTTTGGTACAATTCTGTTGTGGCTGGGTCTGTCCAGAATGCCCTATGCAGGAATATTTCTTTGTCACCTACAATGCTGCTGCTTTGCTTACTGCAACAAGAAAAAAAGTTTCTTTTGATTGAGATGATGAGAAATTTGCTTCTATTTTAATTAGGCCTATATTGGCTGAACTTATATTTCCTAGCTCAGTGTTTATGAACCCTATTTACAGCCTAATCAATGATATCTAGATTAGTATAATGCTTCCAAAAAAAGAGAGAGAGACAGGGGGATGTCATAGCAGAAGCTCAGGGCAACTAATGAGGTTAGATGCATGATTGATAAAATTGTGGTTTAAAAGCAGTCGTTTGTTTGAGATTGTATGTTTGTATCTGTTTGTTAATATCATCATAGAATGAAATGCATCATCGTGTATTATTGTGTAAATGATGCAATCTGATATACAACTAAGCTATATTTGCATCAAATGTGTGCGTACTTCATTGTCTTGTGTGCTGTGTTATAGCAGCTAACGAGGAAGCTGATAACGAGGAACTAGCACTGTGGCTTTTCTTAAAATTTCTCCAGTGGTGTATGACACCTGATTGTTCTGACTTTAACTAGGGTACATTTGATCGCAGTTCATGTTAATTAAATTCAAATTCTTATTGATGGGGGTACCAGATCTGTCTCCGATTTGCAGTGCGATATAGTCTGTGGCCCCAGCGGTAAGGACGGCCTCAAGGAGTCGGTAAATTGCGCTTTGCAGAACGCTAGCCATGCATATTTTCACTGTGGACGGTATCGGTTACGCAGGGGACGAGGAGTTCCAGCTCCCGATTCCAGACGAGCAGGCGCCGTTGGATGTGCCAGAGCTGGTTCCGGTAGTACCCATGTGAGCAGTCTTGGAAGCCTGGCTTTTATTTAGTATCAGCCATCATGGTTAATTTAGAGGACACATCAGCTTTGCCTTGAATAGCGGATTGCGATAGCGTAATCAGGCCTCGTGCGCATCTCCGTCTAAACTACTAATGTGCTTTGGTTCTCAGCACATGGCTCAACGATGCCATAAGAAAACAAAGGACTGTGTGTGTAACCGTTTCAAAGCATCATTGAATGCAAGTACAGTTGTTAAGTGCCTGCTACGTCGTATTTATATGTCGGCTGCGCCTATAGTGCTGGCAGCCGGCATAATATCCTATTAGCTGCCCATGACCATGTGATTTATGTGCCGGCACACTTATGGTGAGCCTGTCACGCGAGCAATACATGTGCCGGCAGAATAGGGGCTGCACGTGTACAGCGGGCATAATTAATATGCCGGAAAGAAAAGCAGCCGGCAGTTCTTTGTTTTCTTCTATTGCATGCATGCGACCACGTCAGGATGTGTGCCGGCACATTTCTGGTGAGCATGTCGTGACTAACCTAACCTAACCAGCAGACTCACATGAAGCGCCGCTACCAACTACATGTGTAAACAGCCGATGACGGCGACACATGTGAATGGCCGATGGCAGCAGGACGTGCGCCGCTAGCAGATGACGTCACTTGTACTTCTCGTATTAGGGAGAACTGCCGGCATCTGGTCGACCGCTACACTCGGCCAGCAGCTGGCAAAATAGACACTACCTTATTTATTTTGTGAAGCAGCGAAGGCTCACTATGCTTTTGTAGAGTAACACACGTAGCTACGCTGCTGTTCACTTTGTTAATGGTTCTGCTGCTGACAATGGTTGAAAACTTTTGAGGTTGTCTTAATGGTTGGGCCTTTAAAATACCTGCTCGTTGCTCAAATGACATTTCTTGACGCCTGGCGTGATTTTTCACTACAGCCACGCAATGTATGATATCCAATGGCGTGATTTTTCACTACAGCCACGCAATATATGATATCCTAAGGAGACTACACCTACTACATGATATTTATAGTGTTTTTTTTTTTAAAGCAGTTTCAACAAATTTCGGGGCTCTGCTGTAGAACACCTCTTTGCCTCGCAGGTGGCCTGGGTTCGACCCTTACTTCGACCCAGCAATCTTTATTATTCATTTTATTTGAATCTTTCTCTATTTTTTGGTCACGGACAAAATGATTATGTTTTGCTCACAATTATCGATGCCGACAACGATGCAATAATTTCTGCGGAACGAGCTTTTTAACGCTCTCGCGTGAATAGGGTGGTGGCAGTGCTCAATTGCTGACCCTAGTGGTGGGTTTAATCTCAGCTGCAATGGCCGTATTTAAATGGTGGCAAAATGCTAGAAACCATGTCCATGTGCTGTGCAGTGGCACACGGACATGTTGAAAACGCCAGATGGTAGATATTTTCAGAGCCCTCAACTTTAGGAGGCTTTGTAATCATACCACGGTTTCGTAAAGTGAGACTCCAGGTAGTACTGTACTTACTTCAGTATAATGCTTACTTTTTCCAGATGTTCTCTACATGAAGTCAAACCTCATGTTACAACCAAATATCGAAATTCAAGTAGTCTAAAAAGTGCAAGGATGCACCCAGTTATCTTATGTTTGTTAGACTTTTTTTCTAGAGGCAGTGAAGTCACTCCTTGCATTACAATTGTAGTTGCTGTTTATTAAGTTCATTGATGCTTTTTGTAGTTAAGAGATTGTGATACCAGGTACAGCTGAACCCCTTTTAAAAACACTGGTGTAAGAGACCAGTGGTTAATGATTGTTATTTGGGGTTTAACATCTCAAAACCACCATATGATTATGGGAGATGTCGTAGTGGAGGGCTCCGGAAATTTCAGCCACCTGGGGTTCTTTAACGTGCATCCAAATCTGAGCACATGGGCCTACAGCATTTTCGCCTTCATCGAAAATGCAGCCGCCGCAGCTGGGATTTGATCCTGCGACCTGCGGGACAGCAGCCGAGTACTTTAGCCACTAGACCACCGCGGCGGGGCAGACCAGTGGGTATGACACACCAGTGGGCTTACAGTGAAATGGGGGGGGGGGGGGGGGTGTTCGTAAGAAAACCCATACATGGCGCCCTGCTTATAAAAGTATCGTCACACAAAAGGTAAATACTCTTTCCTGGCGCATGTCTCTTATAGAGGGGCTCAGCTGTAGTCCTATTCTAAGGATATGCAAATTACTGGAGGCCGCATACAAATAATGTGGTTTTCAGAAATTTCCGTCAGAGTTAAAGTCGTGCCTTGAGAAAAAAAATGTCACAGTTTTGCCACCAGGGAATCCATGACTGTGGTGGCGAAAAATTCACACTTTATAATGTCACACTAAGAAGGACAAGCAGCTTGATACTTGCAGCACAGCTCCTGAAGCACAAAAAGGACACTCAAAAAGAAGGACAGGTATACACAGAACAAGCATGGACTAGCAAGAGTCACAGTTACGTTTTTGTTTGGGCAGCAATTAGTTCGAGTAATTTGTGGCACTAGTAATTGCTTTCCTTCGTCCAGATTTGCACGTTGCAATCTGAGCAGGGAGGGATGGCACAGGCAAAAGCCAGTGACATTATGTCACGTGTCATGGCCTTGAGCACTTTTTCATTTCCTTTTTTTTTTTTTTTTCAAGTGGGTAGCTTACTCTCAGTATAACCGCGAGCTAGTGCGCAGGCATGTGGCGGCCTCATGAGATGGCCATGGTAGCTATGCACATCACAATGCTCAATGGCCAGTGGTAATAAATTTGGGTATATGACATCACTCATAGAAACAAGAGGGAACTGTTTATAGCTGACTTTGAGAATTTATATACACCTTTTACTGTTGATGATATGTTTCGGAGGTTACTTCAGCATAACAGAGGCTTGAAAATTTTTTGTAAGTCGGTGCAAAGGCCCCACGGGTGCACCGTAAGCAGCACTGCTCTGTCGTTGATTGTCGCACCGTGTGCCTGGGTGTAGGAGCCAGAGGGCATGCGCAGTTTGGTTTTTCTTACAACACGGTTTATGTGTCCATCATGAAGTGAAGCTAGGCTAGGGATCAGGGAGGCGCTGTGAACATAGTCCAACAGCACGGCTGCGTTCTACTCTTGAAAGCAGAGCTCAGGCGTCTTCCACGTTTTCCCGATGACTCATAGCCATTCTCAATGATGCCGATCAAACCGCGCCATCGCAACAGCTGCCGCCAAACAGCACTAAATGAGCTCAAGTGGGGTCTCAAAATATGAAGGGCTTTGCATGGCAGGGAATAGGATTTTATGCTCTGCAACTATGGACTTTGGTAACTAGACTTCACCTGCCATGCAGCTGTTTAATTCAAAAAAGAATTCTTCTGGTAGAGAAACATTGTGCAGTGAAGTGCACTTTCCTGTGGATGCCCTTTTATCAAAAAGAGGGCAGCTGCCCACTGAAAGGTCACCTAGTACGACCCAGGGTCCCCAAGGTGTACCCAGGGTGTACGCAGTATACCCAGGGTGAAAAACAGGGAACAAGTAAGCTTTGAAGCCTTTGACATGGCCAAGTTAAAGCACATTAGCAAATGTCGCCCGTGACAATCTGAAAGGAAATATCGCACTGCCTATAGAAGCTTGAGGTGGGCATATTTTGTCTTTTGAATTGCTAATACAGTCGAACCTCGATACAGTGAATCCGTGTATAAGGAAATAATGGTTATAATGAAGTCAATGAATAATAGTCTTGCAATAGATATGGCGTTTGGAATATACCTTTATAACATACTTATTTTCGAGCAACATACATTTTTTTTATAATGAGGCTTGAGCGTACAGGTGAACCTCGTTATCTTATTGTAAGGCTGATATAGTGAATAACTAATACAAACTTTGATTGGTAGTGCTTCTTTTCTTGTTGTGTGGAACCAGAAACACAAGAGCTGCTGTGATATCGGCTATCACAGAGTGATACTTGTGTGCCAAGCCTCAAAACTGCAACGGCAGTGTAGGAAGCAATGTAAATGTTGAAGGAGAATTCATAACCTCATCAAAAGTTTGTTGAAAATGTGGTTTCGGGAAGTTGTGCATATTTTGTCAAGTAAACTTTGTTCTGCTGTGCAATAGACTCTTCTCAAACGAAACCTGAAGAAACCGGAAATATATGTTTGATTTAACAGGAGTTGTGTTTAATGCGAAACCCACAGAGTATGCGGGGACAAAAGCAATCATATTACAGGCAGTTGTTCCATTTAAGCTGCAGTTCCGTTTACAGAGTGAGTGTCTACCGCATTTGCACCTTGTCACATTTCAATTGACTTAGCCTGGCTTAGCCTGAATTTCACCTTCTCACATTTCGTTCAACTTAGCCTAGCTTGGCCTTAATAGCTAATAGGGTGCAGGTAAGGATTATCTCATTTATAGTTAATTTGAAGCCTATAATAAGGTGCTCTTGCATCTAGGGCACTTGTGCGAGACAGATTACCAATATGTTAGAGCCGATTTTCATGTCTACTTTTAAAACGAATATGAGGATTGACAAACTAACTTATGGCTCCGATACTACTTTGTTTTGACAAAATTTGACTGCCATGTGAGTCCAATTTTGAAATCTCTTTCGAATTCAATATTTCTGTTTGATCACTTATAAAACAGCAGCAAAATGTGACCTCTATGGCGTACAAAATGAAATTGGCTTACTAAATGAACTAGGTGGTACTTTGACCGGAAGAGCTGTTATTTCTTTCATTCTTTTATTTTTTAATTTTTATTGTGCAGCATACCTCCGGCAGATCACGTGGAGGATTTTTCGGAAGGTGAGTTCTACTTTTCTCCCCTTACATGTTGTCTTTATTGCATTGCATCGTTGTGCTCAAGTCGACTTGCATTAGCTAACACTGAGGCTTTGTATGCCACAGCGCTTCAACAGCATGAGAAGTCCCACAACACCGTGTAATAAAATAGAAAGGGAGATGTTTGCACAAGTGGTGAAAAGCTTGAACGGACACTACAGAGCAAAACAATTTTTTGCGTACTAGTAAAGTACAGTTTCACAATCCCCATACACCACTCTAACCGTGACACAAGGCTCAGCAAGCGAGAAAACATGCGAAAAGAAAATTAAGCCTGGCGCCGCTACCATGAGATTCCCGCATCGAATCTTATGATTAAAAAAAAAAAAATTCGAAGGCGTCTCTGGGTACTACCTAGCTTCCAATCAATAAAAATGAAGTACTACATCGTAATCCGTTGGTCCCATACACTTGGCATGCAAAGTTTTCGAAAATTTCATCGAGCCAATGCCACAAAAATGCATTTTAAAATTTTTTATGTTATGCCTGCAAATTATGGCACAAAATGTTAAAATTAAACTTCTGCCTAGGTTTTTTCCTCTAATAATGAACTTATAATGGTGAAACATATGACATTAGAGTTCTCAGGGTGCAGTTTGTCAATCTAGACGAAGTCGTTCCTTTTTAGTGTCCCTTACAAACAGTGAAGTTGGTTAATTTTTGGAGCTTAACGCTGCACAGGGCCTTGTTTACTGACTCTAGGTCGTTCCTTGGTGGAGACGAAATCCACAGCCTGCCACAGATCATGTCAAAACTCCAGCACCATAAATGACATGCCACGCATGCTGCGTCACTCCCGGTAAAAACGCAGGCCTTTGTCACTCGTAATTGGCTCGTACCACATTGGTAAACTCGTCGCCACGGCTGTGCAGACTGCGTCCGTCGGTGGCCGTGGTTGACAAACAAGGGTGCGTGTAAAGTAATGGTGGAAAGGGTCATTTGTAGAACTCGACATTTTACCTCGAGCTTTAAGATCTTCGCTGTTAAAAATACAGGACTGAGGTTTTAAGGAAGGCCCAGAATAATCAGCAGTTTTTTTTTGCTCAAAAGTTTTTACTTCAGTCACGGTTGTGTTTCCTTTTTTGGTAATATTTTTTTCCCAATCACATTCCTTAAAGGGGTAGTACTACCAGGTTCCTGAAAGCTGCCTGTACATGGAAATCAAATGCAAAACGAAAACTGCTTTCATAAAATTGGAAACACTCTACCGTCAGAGACAGTTAATAATCCTATACTGGGCTCATTTCACACTCCACTCATCTTAAGTACTATTCTATGTCAGTCAGTTCTGACATACTACTACCCTATGTTGCTCTCGCAGAATTTTGCTTTGCTACGGGACGTATCAGCAGAGTCTACAACCTTCATTCCTGTGAAGCTCTATACTGGGATGCTGTCAACCAATAATTCCTTAAGCTTGACGCAGCATTTCGTCTGTCAGTGATGGTAGCTTCTTGGAATGAATTACTGCTTGATAAGATTGCCTCTGGCTTTTTGGCATGAGTGTTTAATAAAGTTTTGCAAATGGCAATTAGTGGAAGACAAAAACTTCACTAATTACCATTTTGTGTTTGTAGACACAAAAACTTCATTTTTTTGTGTCTTTTATTTTCTAGCCAGAATGAACATGGGGGCATGTTGTGTTTTTTCGCAAATCAGTAGCGCATACAGTGCAATGTTATTTTCTTACTTTGAAGGGAAGCAGATGTGTTTTTATTTATTGGAAAGATTTAGCATAGCTTCTCTTGAGGTAGGATTCGTTGGGTATAATATGCTTTCTTGAAGTTTTTTTTAACATTTTTTGAGTTTTTTTGAACATTTTTTGAAGTTCTGTCAGTGTTTAGGCTAGAGCATCATCGAACTAGTCGCACCACAAGTTTAGTGACGCGCCGTGTACCAAGGCCACTTTGGACAATTATATCATACCAGCTTCCTCAACTCTGCCTAGCCTTTTCAACTCATGAGGCACGCTGGCATCACCGGCGTTCACATAGCTCTCATGAGCTTGCTCGACAATTTGAGCTTTTACCAGTCTAGACTTCCGAGATCGCATGCCGACAGGTTGCGCGCAGTCTCAGTGGCCATCACAGGGTGCGTCAGGCAGTACACACACCGTCTGGCAACAGAGATGAAGATCGTGGAGTGGTTAACATCTGCTCCAACAGGTGCCGCCACCCTTCCCTGGCGATCTTCCGCGCATTCTACAGCCCATGACAGCCAATCTGCCCACCAGTACTTGCGCGATCGCACTGAAAAGCCGCGTATTCGAAGAAAAAAGTGCTCAAGATCAGGAGGTGCGTGTGACGTATTTTTATTTCGCCGTGCCATTTCTCCCTGCTTAACTTCCAGCTATTTCGTCAGGACGAGAAAAGAGAATGCAGTTTCAGCGGGTGACAAATTTTTGGAACTCCGCCCGTACTGAACTGTTTTTAGAAACATTGCGGCGGTAAATTTGCGAGATAACAAGCATGTTTACAGGCTCCATGGCAACTTGAAAAAGTGTTGCAGGGCCCCTTTAAAAGAACATGTTACCCTCAAATCAATTTTTCATTTTATTAAGCTTGCTATGATGGCTTATATGCTCCAAGTATAATAAATTTCAAGACATTAAGTATCTTAGAGGTTATCACTCGCATCCTACCAAAACTACTACTCGAGTTTGTTTAGACTTTTTTTTAAAGAAAAAAAATGGCATTTGCATAGACACCCTATTTCAGTTCAAAAGAAATATTATGCAGGTTAGTTAGGTCATGATAAATATTCCTTTTTTTATATGTCATACATATCATTCGAATTCGATTCGAAATTATTCAATCAAAATCACTATTCACTTCAAACCTAAAATTCACTCTTCACACAAGCCTATAATTCAGCCATACAGCACTACAACTAAGTTCAAATCTTATGAACGCCCAGCTGGTGCATAGTCAATTTGAGCCAGGAACTGACAAATTCATAGATGTCTGTCCAGTCTGAGCTGGATTATTGAAGAGTACCTTAAGAGGGTGTGTTGATAGGCTAGTTGGTTCGTAATGCTAAACACCGGAGTGTGATTTTCGTATGATACATAGAAGAAGGACACTCAGCACAGGACAATTGCTAACTCACAACTATCTTTATTGTAAAAAAAAACAAAAACTTCTACATATTTATTTTACAGCCGGCATGCACAGTCACACTGCCTATCGTAGCCTCGAAAGGATGATTTGACCAAATGCAGATTTGCACATAAAATCTAAAAATTCTTTTTATTTGTTTTGCAAAATACCACAAAAGCGTCATTTGATGTTTGAATTGCATTCTGACGGTATGTCTTCCATGTATGGTTATATATGATGGGCTGTGTGCTTGCGTGCTGGCTGTGCATCATATATAGCATGTCAGAAACTTCTTTTTTTGCAATATTAGTTGCGAGTAACCACTTGTTTGGTGCTGTGTGCGTTTTACGTACCACACAGAATTTCGCGCTCTGCATTTAGCCTTGAACAGTTCGTATTTCCAGCTGGAAATATTTCCAGCTCAACACTACAGCTGGCTAACATAAATTTTTGTTTGGAATATTCATGGGAGATGCGACTCAGTTGTGAGGATAGTTGTAGCTCGAGAATAGAACGACGACGCAAAGACAAGAAGGACACTCCTTCTTGTATCTGTGTCGTCGTTCTGTTCTCGTGCTACAACCTATCATCATGTCGTACCGACTAGCCCAAGCTGCCACACTTCAATAGTGAGGTTTTGGCTGTGCTCTGTGCCGCTAAGCTAATGCCTCCACGTGATTGCAGTGCCCCCGGAAGAGAGAAGCCCACTGTCGCGTGTGTGGGGTCGGCTTTTGCAGTTTGTCGACGAGCACGGTATGTGCACCTTGTCAATCCTGGTCACACCGGACGTCTTCAACCGGAGGACAGTGGCCAGCACCTTTGGAGCACTCTTGCGTACGTTCCCTTCGCCTCTCAGTCAGTTCAACTGTTCCAGTGGAACGGAAAAATAGGCACCTGGGCTAGTCTGTGCCAGTAAAATGCCTTTATAGGGTAGATGAAATCAAGGCTTCGACCGATGCCCATCTGCTTGGGAAGAACAACTGATTAAAAGACTGAAGACGCCGACCACAGGGAAATGAAAATTTACTAAGACGTTTTAGCATCCAAGACGAGAGCCTTGTTGACAATGAAAACTCGTGGCTGTGTATTCATTTCCATCAAGCTAAATCACTGAACCGTAGCTTAACAGAGTTTGTTAATAAACTTGATAAAATGTGTTTTCATTGGGAACAAGGCTTTTGTTCTGAGTGCGTGCCGGAACGTCTTAGTACATTTTCATCATCTTGTGGTCGATGTCTTCGTCATTTTATATAATATTGACAGGGGAGCACAAAACAAACACCTGAAAATTGATCAAGGCCGACCTCTCAGCTGTTCTACCGCAGTCTGCCGCTCACTCTGATAGTTCTTACTCTATGTCTTCCAATTATTCACTTATTTTGCAAAAGTGTATTGTAAGTATGCATAAGATGGCATGAGATAAAAGAAAAAGCACCTTATTTACATGACTGTAACATAGGCTGAATAAGATGCAAAAAGAAGTTTGAAAGTGAAGAAAAGGCCTTACGTTCATGCAAGCTTTGGATCTTTGAGTTCAGCCATGGTCAAAAAAGGTAAAAACTAGGAAGAAACACAAATATTGTGTTTATTCATCATCACTAAATTTTTTGTTGCTGTCTGTGAGGATGTCATTGTCTCGTGTGCCATTACTAATAACTAGATTTTAAGACATGCTGCCCTTTTTACTATGTTCAGAGCTTTCTTGCCCTCAGTTGTACAAGTTGAATGTTTATCGGCAAACATTTCCCGTGACACTAATGCACATAGTCAAACAGCATCTGTTACATCAAGTTGGTGATAACCTCGTATGAACTGTGAAGGTCTTTCCGGTAGGAGTGTCGTAAAATGCCTTGTCATGCACATTATGCTACCTACTAGCCAATCACTCATTTATGCTCAACGGCTGTGTCACTTTTAAGCTTCCAGTATTTTTGCAAAATAATTCACATATTTGAAGTTGTAGCGATTATAATGCGAAGTGCGTTCGGTCAGTGACTTTCTGTAATCTCCCATTATCAGTGTTCCCCAAGTGCTAGCCTCTTTTTGCATCTTCTAAGGATGCATGAACCAAAATGTTTACACAGGTTTAAGCAGTGAAACTGGACGCGAGGGAGAGAGAGAGAAGACAGGCACGGGTGTAGCTGGTCTGACAGCTTCAATTTTATTTCTGTGCGAGCAGTTAAATAGTTAACCCAACATGCACAGTCACCAAAAGATGCCCAGCTGTGAGTGGCAGCTCGTGTCGTTTCCACAAAGTGTTTTTTTCTTACCTGCGAAAGATTTCTCTGTACGGTTTTTCGTCTCCTCGTTTCCAGTCCCGTTGCTCAAACCAGCATTAGCTATGAACGAACTAACTTTGTTAATACTGTTTTACCTAAATAGCTGAGTGCACATACAGTCAAACATCGATATAACAAAATATTGGCAACTATGAAGTGAATGAAGAATTGTCTTGCAACTAAAATAGTAGTATTATAATATACCTTTGTAACAAATTTTCGTATACAACAAAGTTATTTTTGTGTAAGATGCAACTTTTTATAATGAGGTTTGAGTGTATCCTCAACTGCGTGTTTGTGTGCTGATGCTGGTACTGTGATCATAAACTCTGAATCCATCGCCGCTTGTTACACAGGTCTCCACAAGCGTGGGCTCGTGAGCCTAAGTCAGGATCAGCCGTACGGTCCAATTGTCATCGAGGTCTGCCAGCAAGAAGAAGGCACCCCGCTGATGGCTTACCATCAAAACCCCTGAAGCCATACCACATTGACGAGGAGCCCAGCGTTGGCCCAACATTTCCTTCGTGCACCATTATGGCCATCGTACCTCCTCCCACAGGTGTTGCTAACTTAAGCGTCGTGATACATTGCCTAGCCAGTGTTACGGTTCTAGTCAGACTAACGTCATTCGTTAAGCAAAAAACTGCCATTCATTTATCTATTCATTCATATTTACATTTTTGGACCACGTTGACACTGCACAACTTTTTGTGCAAAGCTTATTTATATAGGACAGCATTTAACTATTTGCAATGTCTCTAAACAAAATGTCTCGCAAAGGTTTTTAGAAAAGGGTTCTTGAGGTATTGTTATACACTGCCTAGCAGGTGCTGCAGTTATAGTCAGACTAACGTAATTCGTTAAGCAAAAGACTGCCATTCATTATCTGTTCATTCGTATTTATATTTTTAGACCACGATGACACTGCACAACTTTTTGTGCAAAGCTTATTTATATAGGACAGCATTTAACTATTTGCAATGTCTCTAAACAAAATGTCTCGCAAAGGTTTTTAGAAAAGGGTTCTTGAGGTATTGTTATACACTGCCTAGCAGGTGCTGCAGTTATAGTCAGACTAACGTAATTCGTTAAGCAAAAGACTGCCATTCATTATCTGTTCATTCGTATTTATATTTTTAGACCACGATGACACTGCACAACTTTTTGTGCAAAGCTTATTTATATGAAACAGCATTTAGCTATTTGCAGTGTTTCTAAACAAAATGTCTTGGAAAGGTTTTGAGACAAGGGTTCTTGGGGTATTGTTATACACTGCCTAGGGGGTGCTGCAGTTATAGTCAGACTTATGTCATTTGTTAAGCAAAAGACTGCAATTCATTATCTATTCATTCGTATTTATATTTTTAGACCACGATGACACTGCACAACTTTTTGTGCAAAGCTTATTTATATGAAACAGCATTTAGCTATTTGCAGTGTTTCTAAACAAAATGTCTTGGAAAGGTTTTGAGACAAGGGTTCTTGGGGTATTGTTATACACTGCCTAGGGGGTGCTGCAGTTATAGTCAGACTAACGTCATTCGTTAAGCAAAAGACTGCCATTCATTTATCTATTCATTCGCATTTACATATTTAAACCGCGTTGACAGTTGCACATTATGCGCACAGCTTATTTCTATAAGACACCATTTAACTATTTGCAGTGTTTTTATAAAAAGTGCCTTAGAAAGGATTTTAGACGAGGGTTCTTGAGGTACCTTGTTGTTGTTTTACGTTCTTTGCTGTTACGTTCTTGATTGTTTACCTTATCTTATCTGTGACAATGCACCTTCACTGCAGCTAGTCATTAGGATTTGCGACAACGTGCCTGGCTCACGTGTGGTACTTACACAGCTTCGAGACACGAAGCGTCGTTTCACAATGCCATTATACTTAAGAAATAAATACTATGTTGTTCCTCATTGACTTCTTTGTGCTCTGCTATATTTTATACTCTTTTGCATGAAATTTAAAACAAATGATCTCACTCATCAGACGCATCTGAGTTTTCAGCGTGCGGACATGTAGGGTTGCTATACCTTTTCTAGAAAAAAAAAAAGCGGCCCTTTGACGAGGAAGAGGGGTGGTTTAAAAGGTGGTGAATGGAAGATTAAATTAATTATGAACAATAGATGCTATTTCAAGCTTTTGGCATGCAGTGCCATGTAATAGGACATTGCTTTCCTTGAGCTAAATAAACCTAATATAAGAACAAAAGCAGTGCACTGCACTAACCAATTAGTCTAATTGCCAGCATAAAAGTGCCCCTTGATTAGAATGACACTTTATTTATTGCTTTCTAAGCACAGCATTTAGAAGAATCGTATTACTTCATCCATTAAAAGCTCTTCTGTGTGTCTCCATTCACTACACTAGTGGCATTATAGAAAAGCAACATTTAAATGCCTACACTTCACTATGTCACAAAAATGTCAGATATTCATGTGTGAATACAGGCACAATGATATGCCGTATTCCAATGATTGGCATGCTTGAAGGGATCATAAAAAGTTCGGTGACCAGTAGTGTAAGAGTTCTGGCGATTTACGAGAAATATTTACCACACTAGTTATTGTACTGGTGCTTATAGAATGCCACAGAAATTAAATAATGGCAATAATATAAAAAAAAAACAACGAAACATACCAATGGCAACCAGCACAGACAAAAAACTGGCCGAGTTGGTCTAAAACTGGATAGTTGCCAACCCGGCATGCATTAAGGCATTAATGGATGATAAATCTGAAAGGCGGGAACTGTTAACGTGGGCAAGCTAGTGTTCTGTGAGACATCGGTCTATTAAGTGGCAATGACCGAGTATGGCTAGCATGGTTACAAGTCATTCAGGCTGAGTGCCCTTTCATTATTGAGGTCTTGTCAACACTGAGTACCTAGTTACTGTAATTCTGCATCTGATGCACAAGTTTTGTGAAACCTGGCAGGAGAGGCTTCTTTTTCTTGGCAGTGGCTACAATATTTATGATGTGTGTAACAGTGATGTGATAGTAAAAAAATATATATTGCTGGTTTGTGCTGCCTGAACCATACTCGAGCTGCACTTAAGTAACTCGTAAGATGAGTTGTGGTGTGTTCAGAATCTCTAAGATTTTCCACCATAGTTTTGAAGCTGATCTTGGAGGCTGCACTTTGGCAGGGCATATTTTCTAGTCTTGCGAATGGCACTAGTGTGTAATGTCCAGTTGACACACAGGAAAGCAACATTGCCTCTAATTGCTTTGCATCTCGGGCTGTACACAGTTGCATCATCTAGAATGAACCGACCACTGGGTGGACTCATGACTGCCTGGTTACTCATGTGGCATGGTGCTCCATTCACTATTAACCCTCATTAAAGCCTTCCCTATCACGCTGTGAAAGAGCATACGCTTTTCATTTTTTGATGACCCCTCACTGAACAAACTGCTCAGAATGACAGGCACTTGTACACAAAGTAGGGCAAATTTTTTTTTAGATGATAGTCGTTCTTGGGATACTTTAACGCAGAAACTTTGGTCTACTGGTCTGTCACGTGATTCAGTCGCCTGGCCAAAAGTTTAAGCACATGCTGAAAGCCCTGGCCATCTTGAACTGGTGGCTGCATTCATGCTTGTGAATCATGTTGATCAAAAAGCAAATTTTATGCATATCTGAGGTGCAACATCTGTATGTAAGTATTAGGTTGTGCAGTTTCGTTACTGGAAAATACATAGATACGTAATTTAAAAGACCCCAGTGTTTGTTATGCTGCGCTTAAAATGCGACACTATGTACGAAAACGCCGTCTGCCGACAATGTTATGCTGCCACCTGGCAGTGGTCGTGGACTCTGCAGAAGCTCCGGCAGCTCCTGATAACATTCGCGGTGGCACATGCAAACATGCGACTAATTTTTTCTCTATGCACAACTGGTTTTTGTGGAGGTTATTTGCAGGCTTCGGTCTCATAGTGAGGCAAGGGATGTCACTTTTGACCTTGGGAATACAGCACCTACATCAGCAAGGCAGAAGTCCAAGAGAAGATGGAAGCTTGAAGAGAGATGACAAATTCTTGAACACGGGGTGTTGTTGGAGCCATAGTTTTGAGAAGCGGTCCTCTTCAAGACAGCAGATTACCTACTTCAGTCATGTATGGGCATGCTTCACCATCAATGTCATCATCATTTGTTAACCCTCAAGGACCCTAATCAGAGCATTACATAGAGGGGAGAGTGTTACAGAGCTGAAATGAGGCTTAGTTCAGTCAATGTTTGAAACAAAAACCAAGCAGCATTACAGAAGGCGTAGAGCACGCAAGAAAAAATATTTGTCAACCAATGTTCGCTAAAAAGAGGCGTAGAATACAGCGATGAAAGGAGGCAAAATTCAAGTTCATTGCAACAACAAAAGAATGACAGTATGTAAAGAGAAATAAAAAAGAAGCCGGGCTTGATGACAATATTCATAGTGTGCAAAGCATATTAACTTTTTCGTTATCACGCCTATTCAAATCAATCACTGGCGATCGACACTTTGGATTGTTGATTTTGGTGTATTAAATTTAGTTTCTCATGCGCCCAGCGCTTTATAGTAGTTAGTCGAGCTACTCAACTTTCAGAATCAATTTGAACTTGTCCGTTTTGGCACCATAGTGATTTTTGACAGAACTTGGTGTGAACCAATGTGCATGTGTTGATGGAGAAATCACTAGGCTAGCGAAGTTGAGAGAAGTGTGTGCCCCTCGCGGTTATGCTACAGTAACATCAAAGTTCTGTAACCAAAAGAACCTTTGCTGGTCAAATATCAAATTATGCTGTCAGCTTCCCAATCTGACAGTGTTGAGTACCAATAATCGCCAGAAATTTTTGCCAGATATTCAACAAAGAGCTGTTAGTAGGAGTCAGGGAAAGCTTATTCTACTAAGAAATATTTCCTAAGGTTCACGGCATGTATAAAGCGTGCAGGTGGCCATCTGAGACAGTTTATAGCAGCATTGGTTTCGCTTGTATCGATATGTCAGACACGGGGTTGCGTCTAGAGTCACTAGTCGCTCCTATGGTGTTGTCGTCACGTTTTTGGGTGCGCACCTGCGCTGCAAAAAACACACACCGCTCGAAACTGTCATGCAATGGCACCTGAACTGAATGAGGACGAGTTTAGAAGAGGCCGAGGATGACAGCACCTCAGCTTCGGGTTTATTGGCGACAATGTTTTGCGTCAGCCTGGGACATCCGTGGCCATTCATGGGTTTCTTTTTTTTTACGGCCTCAAGTTGTCTTCTCCACAGCATGTATGTGGCTCTTAAGCTTTGTGCCATGCTTTTGCCATCTTATAGCTACTCTGGTTACGTGCAAGGTCCACACATCTCTGGTGTGCAGTGTGCTAGCGCTGGCTGCGGAGCTTTGCTTCACGGCAAGAAGGCCATTGGAGCACATCTTGGCTCTGAATACGGAACATTTGCAACACATTAGAACTGTGCCCAATGTTGTTGTTTTTTTCTAGTACAGTGTGCGAAAATGCGAAGAAATACGCTTGGATACATACGTTGGAATGCCAGTCTATGCGGAGTGAAATGGCTCATGAAAAGAGGCGACACTAGACAAAATAGCAAAGTTCATTGGGCATCTGATTTATAGAGGGATCATTCACATCACGGGCATCCATTTACACTGGAACATGTAGAGGCTCTTGTCGCAAAAAGAAAGGTCTACTGAAAGAAGCGTACAAGTTCACTAGTGTTTCACAGAACCAAGCAATGCTTCACCTAATGGCATGAGCAACCAAGCAGCAAAAGGCACCAAAAGGCATATCGTGCCGCTGTTAAATTCCTGCTACTGTTTTTGTTTCCACTGGAGCGAGCGAAAAAACTGAATTTGAGGCCTTGTTTATATTTCTTTAAAAAACCTTGGCCTGTGCGTAAGGCACAGCACATTCACAGCAAAAGCTAGAAGAGCGGCCTTTCAGAGCCTTTTGTAAACACTCATTGTGTAACTACTGCAAGCGCACTTGCTTGATACCCACTAAGGCATTAATAACATTTTTTGGGTAGTAGGCCGACATTCGCTGTGCTATATTTTGTTGTTCTTTTGAGAAGCGTCGTATCCGCTAAACATTTGCAAGGAATTTTGCGCCACTTGTTCATGCAGTGGCTGACGATGATGAGAAATATGGCTGAAGTGGGTATGTGCCACAGTTAATAGGGGAACAAGAACAAGCTTTTGTAATGGGCTGGAGCACTGGACGGCCCACTCGTTACGCTATTTGCATTGTGCGATGACAGGTTGTTCTTTCACTGTTTTAAAATGTTCCATAAGTCATATTAACGCGATTGATTTGCCAACATCAAGCCTGCCTAAGGCAAGTTTGCCAATAAGCCCCAAGCACCGGCGTGACTCAATTCGATTGCATTATTTCTATGCATAAGGAAGAAAAAAAGAAGCACTGGGTGTTCCTTCTGTTTAAAAAGAGTCTGACTGATAGTACTCTTTACGACTTGTTTATGTTGTTGGGACTTTATTCATTATGGAAAAGTCGCATGATCGATAGACACGCCGAGCCACCACGGTCGACGAGATCTGTCTTCCGAGAAGCAGCTGCTCAAGTGCGCAGTGTTGTCAAGACTTTTGACCACGTTCCGGAGTGGCTTCCCGTGCTTGACGCTTGTGTGTGTTTGCCTGACTTCTGATGATACGCTGGTAACAGCGTATCGGCCAACGGCCGAGGATCATCGACTCCATTTCATGATGGAGACTCAAGCTATAAAGTCGTCCTGCCACGTCTTCCAACTGGTAACGATGTTTTGAATTCCGTTTTCCTTCATGCCGACTTGAGTGGTAGGCCGTACCGTGCCCCTGACTTCCGTGATGCGCTGCTTAAAGTGGTGAGCACAGCAGACATTATTGGAGTTGGCCAGTATCAAATGAGCCATGTATGGATGATTACGTGTGCAAAC